TTTTGATGTATATACAACTAATGAAATAATCTCCTTCACCTCTATATCCCTTCATCTCCCTTTCCTACACTTCCTTCCCTGCCACCTTCCTCTCCCTTCTTGACATTTCCTTTCCCTCCACAGCTGCTTTGGACACCCCTGGGTGGACATCAATGGGCCATCTCTGACCCATGACCGGGATGAAGGTGTGCTGGTGCTGGCTTATTATCGCCAGGGGCAGATCTCCAAATGGTCGTTCCACTCCTGCTGCACAGTTGTCCACCACAATGAGCTGCCCACCGACAACATCTACCGCCAGGACTTGCAGATCAATGGCAAGGATCGACAGGTCAAAGACTTATAATAAATCCATAGTTGTTGTTGCTACTGCTGCTGCTGAAGGAGGAGGAGTAGGAGGAGGAGGAGAAGGAGTGGTTTGGAGTATTGTTGACCTCGCCTTTTACGTGAAAAAGGGATTGAGGTTGTTTCTCCCTCCTTGTTGTTTTTTTCTGCCTTGACACATTATTTTATTTTGACTTTGTGTTTAATTGTTTCTGTCAAGGAAGTCGCTTTTGTTATGAGTGAGGTGGCACAGTGCAGGAGAATCTGTTTCTGTTTCTATCAGTTTATTTGGTTTTGTTTAGCTTATTGTTATTTGTTTTAGCTTTGTGTATTTTGTTTTATTTTATTTTCTTATTTTCTTCATAAACTAAGGCTTCAGTCTTTCAATGAAGTGACTCATTAAGGGTGCCTGGTGCCCCAGATTACAGTGAATAATATTTGAATGACTGTAGAAGAAAACTTGGATGCTCATTTACCTCTGTTGGCAACAGTTTAGCATAAGTAGTCATTTCGAAGTAGACAGTACTTACTTCAGTGTAAAGCTAAACATGGCGGCTTCCCCCTCACAAAAAAAAAGCATAGCAGAAACAGTTGAATGGAGGTCATGCCAGTGGCTGTAAGTCGTCTAGTCATTTGAAAAAAGAGGTGTTATTTGCATATTAGTTTCTGGGTGTGTGAAGAGAGAGAAATCATTTTTTTTTAAGTGAGAGAAAGAAATATATGGAAGATAAAATAAGTAGAAAACAGTATAAACTGTAGTGTTGCTGATAAATTAAGTTCACAGTTATTTATTGTCAGAAGTTTCTGAAGACATCATTTATTTCTTTCTCCATATGTACCACTCCCTTGAAGGTATGGTGGCCTTCCCAGCACCAAGCACAGAACAAGCTCTGAGGATTTCTTGTCACCATGTAGAGTTTGATGTGCATGTGCTGAACACGTCCTGTTTTTGCATCTGTCCTGTCCGTGACTGCCAGACAGAGGACAAGTACCATGATGTGGTTGAATGAAAAAAGAATGGCCAATAAAGAAAAGAAAAGATTTTGGACTTCCACATTATGAAAATAAGCAATAGAGAGGCTTTATTAAGACTTATGGAAGAGCTTTTGATTGCAGTGTTGTTTTTTTCTCCTCTTCTTTTGGCCTCTGTGTATTTGGTTCCTTATAGCCTCACCAACTAATGCTAAGGTGGGTCTACACTTCAGAGCGAGATGGGACAGTGTTTTAAAAAGAATGTGTGTGGTTGTCTTTGCTTCCATACTTCCTTCTATTCCTTTATTATGTTCCTTTTCTCTCACTCTTTCTGCTGTAATACAAATCATCTTCCTTTTTAAATCTCTCTCTCTCTCTCTCTCTCTCTCTCTCTCTCTCTCTCTCTCTCTCTCTCTCTCTCTCTCTCTCTCTCTCTCTCTCTCTCTCTCTCTCTCTCTCTCTCTCTCTCTCTCTCTCTTTTCATTTTTTCATTTCTTTCTATGGGATTTCAAGATTTTTACCCTTGTTTTATCCAGATGATTTTATCTATAGATATATTCATCATCAATTATATTTCCATGGAAAGTAGACTTGTGGTTGTCTTTGCACAGGCAAAGATCCATTTTACATTATTGGAAGCAAAAGTGGCATAGCAGTTTCTAATTAGACATTGCATGTATACCCAAAGTCTACTTTTTGAATTGGATATATTTGTGGTGCTGTTATGCATAAAGATATTAGGTTTCTTTACCTGTATTACATATCTTTGATTTGATGTGTCAGGTCATGTATACCTATATGAGTAACATCTTTGTTTACAACCCAAAATTTACATTTTCATGGCACACTTCTTTTTTGCTTTAATAGGATGTGGTAACTGATGATTATTGTGCCAAATGGCCCCTGACAGCAACATGCCCAATACTGTTCTCATGTGCCTGTTTGTCATGCAGAGCGCAGTCACCATGAAGCAAAAAATCAGCAAAGTTTCCAGGATGAGCTAGTAAGCATCACAGCCACCACTTCACTGCAACAGTCGCAGTGTTAGACGTCTCACTACAGCACCCACCCACCCAGTCCACTCCCCCCTCGCCACCTGTGACTGCACTTGAGCAGATACTCTCAGATGTGGTATGGAGGCAAGTCTTTCCTTGTCTCCAGGGGTCTAAACCCTTGGGTCATCTCCTAGCTAAGAGGGGACGGAAAA